AAAAAAAAAAAAAAAAAAAAAAAAAAAAAAAAAAAAAAAAAAAAAAAAAAAACAAAGACAAAAGACATTGGTCAGTTAAGGTGTAAATTCAATACTGAGGGAACTCATAATAAAAAACAGGTGTTGTAGCTTGCTTTGCTTACCTTGTTTCTCATTTCGTACACATATGCCTCGACAGCATTTTTCTTCTCTTTGGTTTCCTCCATTACCCGATCCTGTAAAGCCATTTCAAACTCCTTTTCCACTGCCTTTTGGACATCAGCTGCTGCCAATCCACCATAAACCAATTCTACCACGGGGATGTTGGTTTTCTTTACCTTCTTCTTCGGTGCTTCAACCTGAATGACAAAAGATTAGCTAGTGTACTTGTTGACAAGGGATCAGCTAGGTGCTTCAACCTTTATCGTACTACAATACAAGAACAACCGACCCACAAAAACACTAGTGTACTTGTTGCATCAAACATGGAGCACTCAAAGTGCTAGTGAAACAACAAGAGAAGGTAGTCCAACTCAAGTTGTGACTCTTAAGACTATTTAGTTACTCCCCCCAAAAAAATCATGATATTTAATTTATACAATTTTAAAAAAAAAATTAACTTGCTTGAATTTGGTTTTGATGATAATAAAAATAAAAAAGAAACATTAATCAAACGTGAAAAAAAGAATGACGCACTATTTCAGAACCTTCAATTGATTATATTCTACACACAAAAATCTGAAAGCCGTATGTATATATAAATTCCCCAAATTTTGAGGGGGAAGGGGAAAATGATTCAAGAAATTGTTGATAGAATTGACAAATTGTATACCGTTTGTCCAATAAAATTGTAAGCCCTTTAATAAAAATGAAATATACATGTTAAGTGAAAGTGAACAAAAAAAAAAAAAAAAATTGGAACCATAATGACGAAATAAAATGAAAAGAGAGAAAAAGATCTGGATAAAGATAATAGTAAATTAAAAAGTATGACTTAAGGAAATCAAACTGAGAAAAGAAGGCAGAGTTTAATCAGTCATAGATCTTCTCCAACTTGTTACTGCGCTAAGAACATGTAATCAGACTGTGCGTGGTTCCTACATTTAATTATCTATATATAATATTAGTGACCTTACTAGATAGAGATGTAAAGAATCAGAGCTACTCACCTTGGAATCCGTTTCCATCTGCACAGACTGGTCTCCTGACTCTACACTGCCGTTTTCAGCTCCAGCATCTGTGTTTCCCTTGGCATCTTGCATGTTAACATCGTTCTCATTAGAACTGGGAGGAGCCGCAGAATCAGCAGGAGCTTCATCAGTCTCCATTTTAGCTGACTGTTCTATGGTGACTGGAACCTCTATTTCCTCCTCTTCTAACAGCTAAACATACAGAAATCACCGCTCAGAGAAGATTGAAGGCAAACATAGACAACAAAGTAAGGAATAAAGATCCGTGACTTACTGTTGCTGATTCAACAGAAACAATTCCATGCAAATTAAGTCGAGCCTTCACCTTCACCTTTGCCCTTCCACCTTTTGAAGTTTGAAAAGGACCAATCTGGAAATGCACATTACCGACAATTCAATCTCCATGACTACATAATAGCAAATGCTTAAGCTACTCAATTTTTATGGTTAACCCTTACCGTGTATGTACTGATCTTTGCTTGCTGATCAGAATCAGTATAATGAACATCAACACTAAAAGTGCCAGACCTATAAAATGTAAGAGCCTTGACACTGGGTATGGGATTCCCCTTCGGGAAAACAACAGTGCTCTGCTGATTGTCCACTGCTCCATTTTGAGAATCTGAAGCAGCACCTTTCCAGGAGAGAGCTATGGAAAATGGGAAGTTCTCATTTACCTTCAAAAGGGCAAACCCACGAATCAGGAGGGAAAATGCAAAAAAAAAAAAAAAAAAAAAAAA